GAGACGTGTGGGAACTGGGGCACAGTCCGGGGGCTCAGACCACAGGCAGCGCAGGCAGGTGGCCTCGGTCAGATGCGCTGGGCCTGGAGTCGGCTGTGGGTCTTTCCGCAAACGTCACCCCCAAATCCACACATGATGCATGTGAGGGGCTACCAGCGTCACCCAGGTGGGACAAAGGCAGGTGAAATCGGTCTCAGGGGCTCTTTCTCTTTTCTTTTCTTTTTTTTATTGTTGTTGTTATTCCTCACCTGAGCATATTTTCTCATTGATTTTTTGAGAAAGTGGAAGAGAGAGGGAGAGTCATAGAGAGAGAAACATGGATGTGAGAGAAACAAATTGATTGGTGGCCTCCCGCGCAGGCCCTGACCAGGGCCAGGGATTGAGCCTGCGACCCAGGTACATGCCCTTGACCGGAATCGAACCCGGGACCCTTCCGTCCGCGGGCTGATGCTCTAACCATTGAGCAGGACCTGCCAAGGCTGAGTCTCTTTCTTGTGTTGCTGTTGAATGGGTCCTGAGCTGGGCCCACACAGTGCAGCCGGCCATCCTGGGCCTCCTCCCTCCCCTTCTCCTCTGAGACACGCTGAGGCCCAGGCGGTGCCCTGCTCGCTGGCTGCCTGGCCGGCACGTTGCCCAGGCGGAGCCTGGGGTGGGAGGGAGGCAGGGTTCCTCAGAAAGACTCCGTGTCTTTGTGGAAACGGGCCAGGCCACCCCACCTTGCAGGCTACACCATTTCCAGGCAAGGAAACGTTATGTAAAATAAGCCTGTGTTCTTCTCTTCACATGTGTTTGTCTGAAACCCCCTCCTCTCTCCTCCTCTCTCGGCGGGAACATTATTCCGTGTGACTCCCCCGGGGCTGGAGAGAGCTCAGCGGGCACAGAGCATCCTGGGAGTGACACCAGCCAGGCTGCCACGGCCCCGCCGCCAGGAGCTCACGTGGCTATGCTGGGTCTCTGCTCTGTCCCTGGGTCCCTGTTCTGTCCCAGTGAAAAAATACTGGTTATATTGTCAAAGGAAAGGGAGTGAGAAACCCCAAGCACAGTGAAATGTAAGGATGTGTGTTCCTTCTTAAAAATGTATAATTTTATTGATTCCAGAGAGGAAGGGAGAGAGAGAGAAACAACCATGATGAGAGAGAATCACTGACCGGCTCCCTCCTGCACACCCTGCACTGGGGATCGAGCCTGCAACCCGGGCATGTGCCCTGACCGGGAATCGAACCGTGACCTCCTGGTTCGTAGCTCGATGCTCAACCACTGAGCCACGCTGGCCGGGCAAGCACGTGTGTTCTGACCCTGAGATGTACACAGAGGGACTGAGGAGGGCAGAGAACATGTGGGACTTTTCCTGCCCCCGGGGCAAGGGACGGTCTCAACGTAGAGAGATGGAAGCTGAGACTCCGTGTGAGCCTGTGGGATCAGACAGCCCTGGGCTGGGAAATGTAGACAGACTTCCCCAGGCCCGGCCGGCGTGGCGCAGTGAGTGAGCACGGAGCCGGGAACCAGGAGGTCACGGTTCAATTCCCAGTCAGGGCACAGGCCCGGGTTTCGGGCTCCATCCCCAGTGTGGGATGTGCAGGAGGCAGGCGATCCATTATTCTCTCCTCATTGATGTTTCTCTCCCTCCCCCTCTCTCTTCCTCTCTGAAATCAATAAGAACATATTTTTAAAAACCACACACCACACTATCCCCACGTGTTTTGCATCCGGGAAAGTGGATGCACGTGTGATGCTCAGTGGCCATGTCCACCCTCCTTCCAGGGACCACGGTGCCCGCCCTGCTCAACAGCTCATCCAACCAGCTCTACCTGCACTTCCAGTCGGACATCAGCGTGGCCGCCGCTGGCTTCCACCTGGAGTACAAAAGTAAGGCCCGTCCCGGCACCTGCCCCCAC